TTCCGTGTAGTACGGTATGATCCATATCGACTGTAGTACGTCTAAGATCTGCCTTGTTCTGGAATGCAAAGCATTCGATGCGCGAAAATTTCACAGTCGACTTAGCTTGTATCAAACGCTGCGCATTTGCCAGCTTTTTGAATCTCGGCCAAAAAACGTGCGTAAGATGTTTTGTTGTACGTAAAAAGTTTACGGGCCATGGAGGTCAGCTGGTTTACGTCTAGCAATGGCTGAAAATGGCGGTTCCATTAGCGACATGCTTCAGGTGTCTTCTAGTCAATGGTATGGTAGTAGCGATGTCATACATTCGACCAGGATTCCCCTCACTCATCATCAATGACTACCAGCCTAGACACTTGTTAGATGGCCGTGCTTGGACGAGTCGACATGTACCCTCAATTAAATTCTCATGCCTGCACGCTTCTGAGGGCATTCGTCAATTTGTAGTACGGACGAGTTAGTTCAGGTTGAATGACTCGACAGCAATAGTCAGCAATAACATGTCGACTTGTGGCCCAGGTTAATCTGTCAGTTGAAGCACTTGAGATAAAAATGGGACCATATGAACAGCAGACAAATGAAATGCGAATTTTCGTTCACATCAAGTAATTTCACAAAGTTCATGGAATTTCAATCAGCCAACAAAGTCGCTGCTATTCAGAACCCTTTTTCAAAAAGAAAACCTGTATTACTTGAAAAGGGTTTTGTGTAGACCGGTACATCAACAAACTACAGTACCTCGCCGTGACAGAAGGTGGTGGTTCATCAACAATTCCAAACTACACACGGCTTACAACATATGGCATCTATGGGCCATGGACACGTGGGCAACGTTAATCCGAAAATTACAAACCTACTTCAGTAATCATACTGTAATCCCCGAACTATGCACATGTCATCAAAGCGGAGCCACTGTGAGCTTTCACTAATCCGCGATTCCTGGAATACACATGCTTTAAAAGCAAAGCTTCCCAAACTGGAGCTCTCAAGTAGTTTTACTAAAGTGTATTGAAGGAGGAGCTTTCTTATGAAATATGATTAATTAAATAATAAAAAATAGTTTGTTTCAATATGGTAAGAATTTCTAATCTCAACTGGCTGAAGCCATAATATCCCTACTACTAAGTATTCCTGAGCTTGGTTCCTTCTGGGTTGCTTTAAGCTTCGTGGATGACGAAGCGAAAATGGGCAGAGCGTCCACTTGAAAATCTCTCGAAGCGTTTATGCCCTCTACTTGGATAAGCGCTTCAGGCACGGACAACGATAGGAAATGGTCTCTGAGAGTTTGCCCCTCTATGTAGCAGCAACCCCCCCCCCCCCCTCCAAGAGCTGCTGCTGTGTGTTGAAAAACGGCCCAGGTAGGACATAGTATAAGGTATATGTAGTAGAGGCCCCAAAACCGGCTCAGTCGATGCACACATCCAAAGTGGACAAGCTACCAAGGCGCTGTAAAGGCTGCAGAGGTTGCAGCATTCGCACCGGGACCCACCCGTTGCAGGCAGGCAGCTTACCGTAGCCAGCTACCCGCAATGGCACAGACAATTGAACAGGTCGTCCAAATGCACCTCCCATGCAACTATTATTGTCCTAGTCCAGACCCTAATTTTATAACTTTATGGAAGCCATATTTTCTCTTTACCTTTTTTGCATTATTCCATCAGTTCCAGTGTTCCTATGGAACAGATACCTCGAAAGTATCATGATCTGTGCTATTGAGTAAGTCTTTTCGTGGCACGCTACCTAGAACAACCAGCTCACTGTAGAGAGTAACGATGTACTTGTAGACAGTAACGATAACTTAATGTGAAGGGGATTTCCACCAAACATCGTTTTTGGTTACAGTACTTTTTCTACATCACGCTTACAGTTTCCCATTCTAAGCATATTACTCTAGTACAAAGTAGTTGCACTTATGTAAAATTTTTTCGCTCGAATGTCTTTTCCTGCCAAACTGAGCACTTTTCGTAGCACTTTACTGCTTTTGCACTTTTCCAGTAATACTTATTCTGGCGATATGGTTTAATTTCTATGATTCAAGGTAGGGCAGCAAATCATAGCCTTGATTTACTTAAGAAATTTACTCGTGAAGAGTAAGCCTGATAGGGTAGTAATGAGATCTTTGTATTACTAATGATAGGAGGGCGGTAGCAGTGACGAGTGACGAGTTAGATGACTATGACTCGATCGCAGTAATATTGTTTTTGTTGTAAAGCATACAGTAGACAAATAATGGACGAGATGTTGAATTTCGCGGTCCACAGCACATGCATTGTCCGTATGCGGTTGCTGTGACTAAGCAAGCTTAATGAGGATCGCAAATGAGAGACTGAATACGGAAATCTACCCCCGTACGACGTATTTCAAATTCAAAATATGCCATCCTTTTCAGATACCGTATCCTTCTGAAAGGATCTGATGCGATCATGACATTTCCAAGCTCTTCTAGTCTGATGTTGACGTAAATCAGCCCCTGGTAATGACCAGACCAAAAATCACTCAACAAGTAAGTAACTGATTGTTTGAGGAGATGCAATGAGCTCGGAACCCTCAAAAATCTGAAGAGAGCACCTCCAAGGGTGTCAGCATCTTTGTGTTAACAAGGGTTCTCAAAAGAACAGAATTGCCACCTGCACGACAACAGTGAGTCCTTTGATGGTGCTGAACATGTGCAATTCAGCAGCTGCGGAACAAAGAGCATTTCCCGCCAATTTTCGATTTTTTTTCCGAAATTTTCACCTATTTTCCGCTAGATAGGCGACTTCAAACCGTGTTTCGAAGCAGTAAACTTTTAGCTAGGCTCTTCTTAAATTTAGTTATTAGTTTTTGCTAACGGCTGCTTCCGAGGAACCAGCCAAGTACCTCCCCATCTTGCTGGGCTATCGCACCACGTCACGGATGCGTCAACCCTAACTTGAATTCTGCGTAGCCGCCCTTGCCAACGACGGCCTCCACAAGTTTGGCAACCCGAAAAAAGTTCTTTTTTAGTATAAGTTACCAAAAAGTTTACGTGAAACCAGTTGCCCTTGCGGAATCTGTCTGTGAAACTAGTTCAGAGTCATCCGTAGCACTCACTATGAAGAGGCTTCAATGCTCTGGGAACCTTCAGTGGCTAAGAATAGAGAAAAGCCCCTCTTTGTGCCCTACATATGCCCAAATAAAGTGCTACTCAATGTGTTCTTTCCGCGAGAAAGTGCCAAACTTCACTATTGACTCTTCCCCCGTTATGAACAGTAAAAGACTGATTCTTCGGTTTCGTCACCAACTTTACATTACTCACTTGCTCAGAACTATTGAATTCCTACCGTAATATGCCCTCCCAGGTTCAATAGAGCGCCCAAAATGATCCAAGGTGACCGAAATTCGGGGAAATAGTTGTGTTTATGAGGTCGAATCGATTTTTGACCTACCCCTGCTCCATTCATAGGAATGATCGCCAAAAAATCTTATCCTTTGCTTTTCTCTTCTCTTCAAGTTTACAAACATTCCCGTCCTCTGCTAACCTTCGAATCCCTTTTCGCCGTAAAGACCAAACGACCCACACCACCACATGCTAAAACGTAAGCTGACTGCAGAGGAAAAAGCTGCAAAGCTAGCAACGAGCATGGCGCGAACCCAACCATTTTTCAAAACTCGGAACGAAAAGCTGCTCCTTCCAAAGATCATTGAATCCCCCATATCACTACCTTCGAGTATGTTGATCTATATTACCTTATAAACAAAATCTTTTCATTTGTCTAACTGTACATCAATCAATACGTGCCAATACGTAAACCACTTTTAATCTTCGGTTGTTTTATTTTTTTATATAAAAGAAAATACATAAATACATTCGATACCTACACAAGTATGTATAAGTCGCCCGGATCTTTTTCACATATGATCATGTTATCATCTGGGATTATACATACATACAACAGTGACAGGGCGGGAGAGAAACGTAATGATGAACAGACTTTGACAAATGCAACAACCGAAAGCTTTGCACAATGAACACAATTCATAAGTGGTAATAATGGATATCTGTGTATGTATGTATTTGTTGGTTTTATTTTGTTTGTTTGTTTGTGTTTTGCTTTGAAAAGATGACCCGATTCAATTCTTCTAACGAACATAGTACGTGACGTAGGAAAGACACAACTGGCTAACACAGCAATAAAACGCAGCAAAAACTCTGTGTAAGTGCGTCAGGACTGAAGTTTTTTGGTAAAAGTAGTAGTGAGTATGAACGAGGGGGGG